GCACATAATTTCTAAGATAGACAAGAATCTCTCTCCCGAAACCTAATTTACATAATGGATGGTTCGGCCAGGGCTGTTCTCTCCCGAACCACGAAAGCACAGGGCACAAAATCGGAGTTAGCAGGATGGAGGAGTCAGTGGTTCTGGATCCTCCCAGCCTGGTTCCCCTCGGGCCAGGGAAAGCCTAAGCTGTCGGCCCCACGGGAACACATGGTTCTAAAGTAGACACTTGCACAAAGGATGTTCTAGGCGATGGTGGCGCACGCCTTTAATCCCAGCACTTCAGAGGCAGAGCCAGGCTGATCTCTGTGAGTTCGAGGCCAGCCTGGTCTACAGAGTGAGATCCAGGACAGGCACCAAAGCTACACAGAGAAACCCTGTCTCGAAAAACCAAAAAAAAAAAAAAAAAAAAAAAATTGGAACAAAAAGTTTTAGTAGAATTCCTGTGTGTTCATGTGTATATATGCGTTCATGTATGTGTGTGAGTGCACATGTCTGTGTCCATGTGTGTGCATGCATTAATGTGTGTATATGAGTGTACATGTGTGTCTGTGTATGCATGCACTCGAGCACACGTATGTGGCAGGGGTAGAGGCGGGATTTCCTCATCACTCTCTGCCTTTGCTGTTTCAAGGTCTTGTTGAGCAGAAGCAACACATGGCCCTAAAAACAGTTGTTTGCCAGGAAGCCTGACGACTTGAGTTTGATCCCCAGGACACATGTAGTGGAAGGAAAGACTGACTCCCAAAAAATAGCTGTCTTCTAACCTCCACATGCATGCTGTGGTGTGCACGCGCACACACACACACACACGCACATGCACACACATACACGATTGATTAATTGATTGATTGATTGATTAACGTAATTGTTTGAGGAAAGGAAAAGCCACAGGACAGACCTCCATGCCCTGTCTTCTTTTATACACTTCCTGAACTTTTTTTTTTCCCCAGAGCTGAGGACCGAACCCAGGGCCTTTGCGCTTGCTAGGCATGCGCTCTACCACTGAGCTAAATCCCCAACCCCCTTCCTGAACTTTTTAAGCTTCCTCAGTATCCAGCATTCCTCTCGGTGAACAGACCCTCCTTTTCACACGCACATGTGTCTTCAGTGACGCCAACAAGTAAATTTTTTTTTTGGTTTTTTTTTTGTTTTTGGTTTTTCGAGACAGGGTTTCTCTGTGTAGCTTTGCTCCTTTCCTGGATCTCACTCTGTAGACCAGGCTGGCCTCGAACTCACAGAGATCCGCCTGGCTCTGCCTCCCGAGTGCTGGGATTAAAGGCGTGCGCCACCACCGCCCAGCAACCAACAAGTAAATTTTAAAAAATAAAAAAAAAAAAAGAAAAGAAAAAAAAATGAAGACGGCAAAGTTCTCCCGAGGCTCAAGACAGGAAAGTGACAGCCCCGCCCACCACGTTGGTCCCGCCCACCACCACACGGCCCCGCCCATCACAGGGCCCCGCCCACTCCAGTCCTCCTTTGTTTGCTCTTTTCTTTCTGGTTTTGTTTTTACAAGCTCTCCTGTGCTCAGGCCGGTCTCGAACTCCCTGTGAGGCCGAGGCTCTTACTGACCTCCTGACCCTCTGCCTCCTGGTGCTGGGGTGACAGGCGTGTGTCACTACATGTGGTTTACGTAGTGCTGGGGGTCGAGACCGGTTCGTCCTGTAGAGGCCGGAGAGAGGACTCGGACCCGCCCAGATCACACGTTTCACGCCACCCGTGTGCCAAGAGCCACCCGTGGCTGAAAACGCCAGACCGGTTTGGATCGGATCCAAAGCCTCCCAGGGTGCACACTAGAGAAGTCACGGAGTCGGCAGCTTTGGGGCTTCCCTTCTCCTCAGAAAGACTGTGACCTCATGCTCCGCCTCACCACCATGGCAGTTCCCATGGAGACCGTGCCCGGCAGGGAGGAGGTGTGCCCTCTCACCTACTTCCTGTGGGGATCATTCTAGAACCAAAGCCGCCCTGAGCAGGAAGAACTCTCAGAGGGGAAAGCAAGGCAGAAAAAGCATATCCATGCTTGGGTGTATAGGTACTTGTGTGTATGTGTGTGTGCAGTCCTTTGTATATGTGGGGATAAATGTGTATGTATGTGTGCATATATGTGTGTGCATTCATTTGTATATGTGTGTATGTGTGTGTGCATTCATTTGTATATGTGTGTGCATCATTTGCATATGTGTGTATATGTATATGGGGGGGTGTGCTCATTTGCATATGTGTGTATACGTGTGTGCACGTTCATTTGTATGTGTATTATATATATGTGTGCACTCATTTGCATATATGTGTATATTGTATGTATTCATGGGTGTGAACAAGTCCCACAGAAGCAATCTTGACTCTTGTACCACACCATATTTCCCAATATATTCTCCTCTACGTCCATCAATTTCCTCTTTCCAATGCTGGTCACAGCCCACAGAAACTGACATCGCCATCTACTAATGCCTCCTAACCTCAGACGTGAAAGCACGAACATATTCCAACCGACAGGAGAGCGGAGCGAGGGTGAACGCCAAGATCCTAAGGACACGACCCGGTGGAAGCCAAGACCAGCTCCGAACACGCTGAGCATCAGCGGCTGTTATCCCCCCAGATTCACTGTTAGAGCTCAGTGACCCCAGTTCCTCTCCTTGCTGCTTTTCCGATCCGCTAGATCCTGATACAGAATCCCAGCGCCCCCGAAGGGGCCGGGTCCTGAGGAAAGAGTGGCTTTGGTGTGTCAAACAAAGTCAAGGTCTCCTGGAGAAAAGCTGGCCTTGAAAACACAGAAGGACAGCCTCTCGTGTGCAGATAAAATGCCATAGGTTGGGGCTACAAAGATGGCTCAGCGGTTAAGAGCACTGGCTGTTCTTCCAAAGGACCTGGGTTCAATTCCCAGCACCCACATGTTCACTCACAACCATCTGTAATGAGATCTGGCGCCCTCTTCTGGCATAAAGGTGTATGTGCAGAAAGAGCACTCGTACATAAAACAAATAAATACATCTTTTTTTTTAAGTGCCATGGGTCTCCTGAGGCCCCCACCCCTAGACAAAGAACTACAGATAACTAAGGCATGCTGGGAGCAAAAAAAAATAGTCTTCCCCAGGGAAGAGCACACCAATCAGTTATCCAATACCAAATGCTCAGCTCTGAAAACTTACACATACAGGTAACATTGTATGGACTCAGCGGGCATACTTATATATTTAGGAATACATACATATTTTTTTTAAAGAGATAGATGCCATGAACTTAGGATAGAGCAAAGGGATGAGGGGTGCATGGGAGGATTGGAAGGTGAAAATGCTGTAATTATATTTTAATTTTAAAAACTAAAAAATATTTCTTTAAAAATGCCATAGGTCCAGACACTCTGCAGGCTGATGAGTGAGAGTCACTTCAGAGTTCACACAGGGATGGCGAGAGGCAGACCCCAGGCCTCTCTCCACTGTCCTTGGTAATTTCACCACCAGCCTTCCTGGGACACTCTCCCACCTCCTCACCTCAGGTCTCCACGCCCCAGCCTCTATGGATCTCATGAAACCATGAACATCAACTCTAATTCTGATGAGAAAAGCCACTTTCGTTTGTTTCGACATCTGAGGGACCAAGGGATTTCTGTCTCCAAGGCCGGGTTCCCAGCTGCTGGAACAGCCTTCATCCAATCGCCCTCTCCTCTCTACAGCACCTCAGAAGGGAGACGACCTCTCCACCAGGGCTTAAGACAAACCACAGCCAAGACCAGCTGGAAGCTGTGTTTATAGATAAAGTTTTATTGGCGCACGGCCACGCACATTTGCTTACCTGCTGTGGACAGGCTGTTCTGGTTGTTGGGCAGTGACAATACAAACCCGTGTGGCCGGCACAGCCAAAAAATATTTGCTCTATTTACTGCCTGGTCCTTCACAGTTTGTGAACCCCTGGATGACAGGACCCTAACTCTCTTGTTTGTGGCAAAATGAACTTAACATGAAAATTATCTATGTGATGCAGTTTTTAACATAACCTCAAAGGCGTTAAAAAGCTTCCTGGGTTGTGTAAAGGACACCACCAACCATCACCAGAGAATTTCCTCATCCCAAATTCTGTACCCGCTGAATACTGGCCCCCCATTTCTCTCTCCCTAACTCCAGCGGACCACCATTCTACTTCCTGTCTGCAGTAGACTCCGTTACGTCATAGCAGACGTCAGAAGTGCCCCCTCACCCCCTGACTGCTGAATAATATTCCCCTGTGTGCAGAGGCCCCGCCTCGCTTCCTCACACACCTGCTGAGTGGCACTCAGGTGGTCTCTGCCTTAGAGGTCATGAGTGACGTCACTCCGTGCCTAATTCTTTGGTGTGGTCTCTGTTACGTGCCCAGCCCCCACATCCACATGGGGCCTTCTGCCCACTCCCCTGACTTCCTCCTGGATGGCAAAGCCCTCATAAAGAACAAAGAATTACCTTAATAACCACACTTTACATTGACGCTGTGTTGGAATGATAATTATTTTTGGTAGAGTCATATAGCTTATTTTTTAAAAACTCGTTTTAATATGCCTACTGGATACTTCAAGGCTACCATGTAACTTTTACCTATTTCTGGGGCCAGCAGGAGGGAGACCCTGCAGGGGCCAGCCCCCTTCTGCCTCCATCCAAAGGATAAGGATTTCTGACTCAGTGGGCCATACCCAATCCTGCCATTGTGGCCCAAAAGTACTCACAGACAACACTAACGGAATGGCTTGGCTGTGTCCCAGTGAGTCTTATCTACTAAAATGGGCCACAGCTTAAATTTAGCCCCAAGCTGTGATATGCCCTACCAACCCTCAGAAATATTAAAGACCATCCTGTAAAGAGTAATTGCCAGCTCCAGAAAATTCCTCCCAACCTACTTTCCCAGAACACACAGCGCAAAGCCACCGTCCTTTAACTAGACCCACAGACACACACGACCGTTTGTTTCCGGCTTCCTCGGAGGAGCAGCTCCCGGGCTTCGGCCACCCCAGAGCACCCACTGACCCCACTCACTTGGGTGTGTTGGCCTCGTCCACACGGTTCCCGAGCTGGAACTCATGGGATTTGCTCCTGTGCAGCGCTGTGAAGCCGGGAATCAGATGGATAAGTTTCCGAGAGGAGGGTGGTGGTGTCCCCGGAGGTTTCAGCTTGTTTTTTCTCCTCATGGGTGGCGTGCCAGGAGGGGTCACGGTGGTGACGATATTCGGGGTGCGAGGTGGGGTGCGGACTACGTGCCGCTGCCGGGGTGACGGGGGCAGGGAGCGGTGGCCTGATTCCAGGGGTGGCGGCGGGCACAAGCTCTGGTAGGCATCCACGGTGAGTCTGTCCACGTGGGTGTACACAGGGGTCCCAGGCATAGGGCTGGCGTGACAGAAGGGCTGGACACATTTGGACTGGACCCTGGGGCTCTGGGAGAGGTGGGTGCGGATCCACGGGCTGGACTCCGGGGGGCACACAGGGTTGCTGTCCTGCCCTGGCTCCGTGGTGGGCCACTGGATGATCCAGTCTTGTTTGGAGAGATTCCCACCTGGGTAGGAGCAAAGGAACAGAGAGAGACACGGGTAAGGAAGGGGCAAAGGGGTGGGCTTGCTGTGGACAGAGATCCACCATCCACTCTTCACCACACATGTGTCTCATCATGCATATCTGATGTCACAGCAGGTGAGTCCTTACATCGCACGGACAGACAGATGCAGGTAAGCCAGAAGAAAGGAGGCGGGCTTGCGTGGGCAGAGATCTGCCACCCCCACCTTACCACATGTGCATCACACCATGAGCATCTTACATCATCACAGCAGGTTACACTCAGCACAATGCATCATGTGCACCTTTACACAGTCTGCACACCCTTTCACACGCCATGCCACGACACACACCTGACTGCATACGCAGGTTACATCATATGTACACAATGCAGTATGCAGCGCACATCCTCTGCACCCTATGTGGCGTACAGGTCACGTTATATGCGCCTTACAGCACACACAGGTCACCTCATGGGTCCAGTGTACCACATTGCATCAAATGCACCTTCCAACATATGCGCCCTACACAACATGCATGCTCTGGCACCAGCACATTAAGTAAATAACATACATGTTGCCTCCATGCACCTCAGGCCACACACGCCTCATGCTATGTGCACACACACCTCCTGCACACCTCATGCTGTGTATCCATCACCTCGATGTACCTCACACTTTGTGTTGACCACCTTGTGTGTGGCTCACATGGTGTGTTCACACATCCTTTATGCTATATATGCGATGCATCACCACACCTCCTGTTGTCTGCACACACCTCATGCCCTGTGTACTGCATCATACACACCTCATATCATAAGCACGTCCCATCATAGGGATCTCACAGCACATACATGATCTATGGTAGACATGCTGCACCACACACACACCACATCATATACGCATCAGACCATCACACATTAAAGCATGCACATGTCACATCACGTGCACCTTACTCCAGACACACACTGCCCATAAGTACATTATAGCACAGGCATGTTTCATCAGATGCACATAGACCTCATGTTCACTATGTCCGATGCTCATTATACCACACGCACATCAGTACACACATGTGCTACATGGCAGGCACATTTATAACATCCGATCACACCACTTGGCCCTCACAAACAAAACTGAAATCTCCCTGCTTTCTCCCCACTTAGCAGCCTTGCCTTCCACTGCCTCGTGGCTGCGAAGCCCACACCCCGAAGACTTCACAAAGCAAAGCAGTCAGTCCCTGCCTTTTATGGGTCCCAACATCCAACCACATCAGGGTTTGCTCTAAAAGGTTGCCAAGGGTGATGCTTGCCTTAGTCAGGGTTTCTGTTGCTGGGAAGAGACACCATGACCACAGCAACTCTTACAAAGGAAAACATTTGGTTGGGCTGGCTTACAGTTTCAGAGGTTCAGTCCATTATCATCATGGTGGGACATGGCAGTGTGCAGGCAGACATGGTGCTGGAGAAGGAGCTGAGAGTCCTACATAGTATGCAGGCAACAGGAAGTGAGCTGAACTAGGCCTAGTGTGAGCATAGGAGACCTCCAAGCCCGCCCCCCCCCCCCAGACACACTTCCTCCAACAAGGCCACACCTCCTAATAGTGCCACACCCTGTGAGCTTTTGGGGGGCCAATGATATTCAAACTACGCACCTATGGAACAGTCTTAATACCTGACTCCAACACGGACCCAGACTTGATGGGACAAGCAGGTGAGTTCCTGGAGGCCTTTCACGTGGTTACAGGGAGGGAAACAGAGTGTGTGATAGCCAGTGATGGTGAGCAGCTAACAGATGGTCCACACAAACCATGGCCACAACACTGCTGCATGAAGGAGCCGAGGACCCACACACAGCACTCAGGTGGGTCTCCAGGGATTACAACTGGACTAACGTTAAAGGGCTCTGACTCCATTTCCCTAGCCTTACAGAGAACAACTCTTTAGACATGATTGGCAGATACCAGAGGTGAGGGGGGGGTGAGGGGAGGGGAGGAAGAGATGTGGCTATAAAATAGCAGCAGAAGAGATATATGCCATTCATTATTTCGACAGTGGTGTAGACATGGGAGTCCACTGTGGGACATTATACAGAACCGAGTGCACACTCAAACGCACCTCAAACACACGTGCGTGTGTGCACACAATGCTGGACACGTCTGGGCAAGATCGCTGGGCTGCGTCCGTATCGGTACCCTGGTTGTACATCTATCATTTAGCAAGACGTGACCATTGACAGAAGCTGAGCAAAGCCTTCCAGGTACCCCCTGTGACCTTTTCTTAAAATTGTATATGGCTCCACAAGTACCCAATGAAAATCTTCAGTCAGCCCCAATGACACAGCAAGTCCCTGTCCCAGACCACCAAAACCAAAACAAACAATTTGGTTAAGAAACTGGAGGGCTTGGGATGAGACTCAGGGATAATGCTCTTGCCTAGGATGTTTGAGGCCCTGGTTTGATACCCAGCACCACGAAAACAGGAAGGGGGAAGGAAGGACAGACGGAGTCAGAGGAAAGAGGGGAGTGAAGGAGGCTTCCTCAGGATGTGATTAGGGAATGCCTTGTTGTGGAATAATCTTTTTGTGCACTGTGAAGATGTGTCACTCTGATTGGCTTAATGAAAAGTTGAACGGCCAATAGCTAGGCAGGATTTCCAGGCACAGAAGAAGATGGGAAGAGGAAAGTCTCTGGGGATGCCAGGAGACACAGAGCAAGCAGCATGGGCAATACAGAGTAAAGTTAACCGAGCCACGTAAAAGAACATAGATTAGCTGGGCAGTGGTGGTACATGGCTTTAATCCCAGCACTCGGGAGGAAAAGGCAAGCAGATCTCTGTGAGTTCAAGGCCAGCCTGGTCTATAGAGTGAGTTCCAGGACAGGCTCCAAAGCTACACAGAGAAACCCTGTCTTGAAAAAAAAAAAAAAAAGATATGGGTTAATTTAAGTTATAAGAGCTAGTTAGAAACAAGCCTAAGCTATCAGCCGAGCTTTCATAATTAGTAAGTTTCTGTGTCATTACTGGGGATGCAATGGTCCCAACAAAAAAAGTCCAATTGCAATGCCCCCCCCCCAGAGGCCACATGTCAGCTGGCAAGAACAAGAAGGATCACCATGCCAACAGTGACGAATGGTGCCCCAGGCTGAGGGACCAGTGGGGACAGAAGTCTGGGAGCAGGGAGGGCTGGTTTGCTGCTTTGTTGTCTGATTTTTAAGTCTTTCAGAAGTTTGTCAAAAAGAACAGAGCTGCTTTCAAAGGCAATTGACAGTAATAAACATGGATTGGGTTTTCAGATAAAGGCTGCATTGAACAAATGTAAAGATCCACTCGTGGGCTGACCTTTCCCCTCGATTGCCTCGTGGACAGCCTAATACAGAGCAGATTGGAAGACACAGACCCTCGGGGAGCGACATGTGGCCTGGCTTCAACCTCAGGACAGAGCTGTAAGAGAAAGGGCCCAGCAACACCACAGGCTGGCCTCTTTACCCCAACACCGTATTTGCAAATAAAGTCCCTGCAGATGGAACTGAGCTGAGCTCACTCTGGATAAGGTCATCCCTAATCGGCCGTAGCTGTATGAAGAGGGGAGGGGACAAGCTTGGTGGCAGGAGGCGGCTGAGGCACGAAGATCACAAGCCTGGTCTAAACAGCCAATTCCAGGCCACCTGGGCTACACACTGACACCCTGTCCCAATATAGAGAGGACGCAGAGGCAGAGGGACGTTGGAGGGAGAGCCTAGTGGGATGTAGCAACAAGCCAAGGGATGCGAGGATGCTAACGGTCACCCACCAGACCCAGGGGAGGGAGAGGCGGGGCTCAGACCCCCAGAGAGGGTGGAGCCTAAGCTTTGTTGCTTGACTCCAAGCCCTGGGGTCTGTGAGTGTGTGGACTTGTGCTAGTGTGCTGCTCTGTTAAAGCACCACATCCCTAGCAAGCCCCCCAGGGGAAGGATCCATGTGTGCTAAACACTCAGGAGGAGTTATCAAAGCTGACATATGGTGGCACACCATCTTTAATCCCGGCACAGAGGCAGGCGAGATCTCTGTGAGTCCCAGGGCAGTCAGGGCTACACATAGACAGACCCTGTCTCAAAACCAAACAACAAACAAACAAACAAACCCTGACACACACTGTATATCTGGAACCCCACTGAGGAGGATCAGGAGTTCAAGGTCATTCTTGGCTAAGTGGCAAATTTGAAGCCAACCTGAACTACCCATGTTCCTGTCTTAAGCAGGGGTGAGAGCTGGGTGTGAAAAGACGGATGAACGGTCAAAACAGGATATTGCTGTCATGAAGGACGCAAGTTCAGTTCCCAGCACCCACTTGGGAGGCTCACAACCATCTGTAACTCCGGCCCCAAGGGGATCTGACGCCCTCTTCTGGCCTCTCAGGGCACCTGCACTCACATGTACATCCCACACCGACACAAATACATCATTTAAAATATAACAAATGGGAAGGAAAAGAATGTTTGGGAAATGGTGGCTGGTCTCAGAGTGAGGGGATCAGTTGCTCTGTCTTCCTGGAAGGCGAGGTCTATTTAATCAAGTTTTAAATGAGTGAGAGAATTTGATCAGAATCCCTCAGTAGGTGGAGACCAATGTCTTCACTTGCCCCATTTACCACACAGTATCCTGCTGCCGGGTGGGGACCCAGGGCTTCCCAAGACCCACTATTCCTCCAAAGACAGACAGACAGACACTCCACTGGGTTCAGGGAGTCATCCTCTTGAAGTATTTCTTCACAGTTAAAAAGATAAGAAGGAAGGAACCCCACCACCCCCAGCACATTCTCGACCCAGGCAAATCCGCTTCCTCTCCACACCCGAAGGCTCAAAAATCAGAAGTTCGGGGACCCAAGAAGTGCGTGCACAGTTTTATTTCATTACCCAAACTGCTCAGCCAGCAGAGTCGACTCCAAAGCACGGAGGCTTCAGAAGCGCCTCGATGATGGGTTGTATGCTATCAGAACCCCCCCACTTTTGATCCTCTTTTTAATAAAG